GTAATTAAACTAAATGCTCGTTTCAATGTTTAATAACTATATTTAAATAAATACAATGTTAATTTATCAAATAGTGTACATGCAAATTATATCAATATTATACTGTAAGTTAAACACCGGTAATTACTTGCAATATTATGAGCTAATAAACTAGCAGAATTAATAAATGCTTTTATTAAGTATACATTTACATTAATGTATTTCAGAGAATTTAATGGTTTAATTCAATCTTTATTTTATAACATTTTAATTGAAATAATTTGCGAAACAAAACTCAGAATTCTCTTTGTTTTTATTAATGATTCAGATTTGGTTAACACCGGGAATAATATCAATTTAATTCATTCATGAATACATAAATAATATTCACTTTCAATTTGATAATAAAAACCACTCAAACAGAAAAACATTAATCGTTTAACACTTTTTAAAAAGTTTTATTTTTCTATAAAATCCACTCTTTATTAGAGGCGACTCTTATGTGATAACAATATAACAAATGTATTGATTTATAACATCATTCCATACAATGATCATCCGTTACGGCACTAGAGTTCGCAATCATTGCATAACAATATTTCCTAAGAGGTCTTCATAATAAGAAAATTTATAAATAAAATACAAAATCTTTACAACTAGAACATAATTCGTATTGTTTATCAAAATCTAATTAAAAAATATTAAAAATACATATTAAATGAATTTAAAAATCTATAAAAATATTTTTATACACATTTGAAAAATACAATTCTTATCAAACATGAGAGCAAATAATAAAAGCAATAATCCTTTCCAACAATAAATGTATTAATTAGCAATCAATGAGTGAATTAGCGGACAACCCATCGATGTCATCGCAAATGCGTTTGTAATCCCAAGCACTGCCTTTCAATCGCTTCCTGAATATAACGCACGTCTCATCTGTTTTGCAAACTTCCAGATTGAAAGACAACACTATTGTGTTCATCGACGACAACACACATCTCAAGAGGAAATTACTGACAAAACAAAAGTAAAAATAATTAAAAACAAATCAATAAAATATAAAATTATTATTTAAAAAACACTCACGACTTGTGAGTGCAGAGCACATTGCGTTTGGCCAACACCTCAACCAACTGTGCGATCAGTTGCTGCGGATCTGTGAACTCAGTGCGGGTGATGTTCTTACTGTCAGCGCCGGACAGTCGCACCACTCGTGGCGACACTCGTTTGGTGGGCGTCGCCGACTCCAGCAAACGCTTCAACAGAGACTTCTTCTCAGTCTTCGGCGCTGTCGACGACGACTGACCAGTCGTTTGGTTTAGATTCGGTGTCTTCGCGACAAAACTCTTCTGCCGGCGATCGGGCGTACAATAGGTGTCATTAATGGGCGCCAAAACTCGGGCAGTCTTTGCCGGACTGACGCCGTCGACGGACTGAAGGCGCGCGCGAACCATACGGATCGAGTCGTTGGCTTTGGCCGACGGCTTATAGGCCACGCGTTTAACCGCCGGTATTCGGGTGGGAGTGTTGTTGCCGTCGTTACGGCTGACAGCGAGTGGACTCGGTTTGGGTTTGTGGGCGCCGGTCGGCGACGGCTTCTTCACCTGAAATCCCTTCAGTGTCTCGAACTCTGACTTACGTTTGGCGGACACGGCTTTCGGCGAATATTCTTCACACGAGTGGCGGAAGAATATGAATGAAAACGTAAAAGTGTTAGAAAAATACAAAATCAATTTAATTCATAATTATATTAGAAATTTGTCACAAAACAGACATCGATTAGTCAAAACACACACAAAAAAAAACAAACACTAATTATAAGTATTGAAACTTTTTAAAGAGTATAGATTTTAAGTCATTCAACAAACTCATCACATGTTCCGTCAGTTTCTTAACAAACGGCGCGATTAATAAAATACCTGCGCTCTCGACGGCGGCCGCGATGTTAGATACACTCCGACTTCGGCGGCGATCGAGTTTCATGTGTGGTATCAGTGGTGACGCCTCCGACTTCAGGGACTAAACAAAAACATACAAAACCTAAGAATAATATGAATTACTAGAAAGTGAGGGAACAATACCTGATAGACAGACGGGTTATTCTTTATGAGCCAATAAGTGGCCGTATTATAGCCGTAATCGCAAAGTATTTGCCGCTCTAATGACTTGCGGTCAACGGTCGAGAACTTCAACGCCCGACAGATATCGAGCACTTCGTTAATCGTGGGCTTAACGGGAATGTCGGACAAACTGAACGAGTCGTCCAGCGATGGCCGTAACCACGGATGCGCTTTGATTTCATTTATGTTCGCTCTGGCGTTCGGATCCGTTCTCAGCATCTGACCGATCAAATCGTTCGCCTCATTAGACAAGAACTGCGGAATCTTATAGTTTCCCAACTGATCCACACATCAATCAATCAAAAAAAACAAATCAAAGTTAATTAAAAATCAAAGACCAATCAAAAGAGTAAACTCGTAATCAATACCTGAATCTTGCGGTAAAGAACGGGAAGATTGTTGTCAGCGAACGGCAATTCGCCGGTCAGGAGAGCGTACAACAGGACACCCGCCGACCAGATATCGACCGACGGCCCGGAATAGCCCATCCCCTTAAGCAGTTCCGGCGCCGCGTAAGCAGGGCTTCCGCAACACGTCTTCAGATGGACTTGCGATTCATCGGTACTCTGAATGAGTAGTAGTGGGCAAAAGAAACCATACAATTATCACATCCATGTAAATGATGGCAAACATATAGCGGATAACGTACCCGACAGTGGGCTGAGAGTCCGAAATCAATTAACTTAATCTTATGATTCCTATCAAACATAATATTTTCGGGTTTGAGGTCTCTGTGCGCGAAACCACTTTCGTGGATGTACTTCAGCACATCCACCAACGATCGCATGATCTCTTTGGCCTCCGATTCCGGTAGTCTCTGCTTTGAGATGAGATAATCAAAGAGTTCGCCACCACTGCAGTACTATAGAGGGGGGGGAGGGGTTCGGGACATTAAATTACAAGTTATATGAACATTTAATAACTAATGTAGGGATCAGTTACCTCCAGAACCAAATAGATAGTGTCTTGAGTTTCAATCACTTGCAATAGTTGGGCGATATTGTCGTGATTCAACACTTTCAAAGCGCTTATCTCAGTCTTCACGCGGAACAGATCGCCCTATCATTCATACCATCGATTAGGACAACACTAAATGAGACAATAACGGGGCCGCCGAAGACCCCACACACAAACTCACCCCTAACTTCAATTTGTTCATCTTCTTGATGGCCACCTTCTGATTGGTCTTGTAATGAGTGGCCAGTCGTACGGTTCCGAAGCCGCCTAAGAGTTATAGCGTAAGCAACGCGTGAGTCAACTGAGCGATGGATCAGATGCGGTGATCGCACGCACGCACGCAATGACACATACCTTCGCCGAGTTTAGTCGTGTGGACATAATATCCCTGATTAATGTCCACGTCTTCGGGAGCCTTGGGTTGGGTCACGTGTGCGGAGGGGCTGTCCGTCCGTCCAATCAATCGGTTCATCGCTGTTATCGTCGGCGCAAACATTTGGGACACAAGAAGTTTGCGATCAAATACTGGATGTGATGTTCGCCTCTAATGTCATGTGTTTTACACTTCACTCAATCACACACTGACTGTCTGTACGGAACAGGTATTATAGGGGGAGACCTATAATGGGATTAAAGCATGTATGTAAAGGTCACACGTTATGAGTCACACGTATGGGTCAGTCATATGACTGGACGCACAGGTAATGTGTAGTTCAAAACGAAGAGGTATTGTATTTAGTGTTAAACTCTGTGTTTTTAAATACAGTGTTGTGTTTAGTCATTGACTTAACGCTCGCTTTTGCTGTTTTGAATGCAGTGCTGATAATGAGTGTCAGAAAAAGCCAATCAAAATCACTGCACATATCGTGTGCTGATTGTATTATTTGTCATCTCTATAGCGATTGTTGACTGTATTCAACGGTTAATATACTTTTCCATACAATACAACACTTTTTTGTACTTTTGTATTGAATTCAATGCTATTTTTGTGTTCACTTTTACTGTTGTATTGAATAAAATAAAGTTTTATCGTAATATTTAATGCACTTTATTTGATAGGAGAGTACAGTACACACCCTTAGCTTAAGTAATCTTAATTACTGGTTTAAGTGGTACCATGGTGCTTTTATTTAGTTACTGATTAAAAGTAGATTATTTCAGTTACCATGGTGTTAGTTATGAAGGCGAGAAACCGATTTCACCCCACAATCAAGAAGGCGAGGAAGCGATTCTACCCTTCGAGTGATGGACTCATCCAAAGTTTTCGTCGATTTCATCATAACTTTATTATTATAAGTTTTTGTAAATTCCATCGCTTGATTCAACTCATAGTCTTTGTGGTCGACGAGTACTTGAAGCTTATTCGCCGTCTGTTTCGCTTCCAATAACTCCATTGACAATGCGTTCAACCGCTCAAACATAACATTCATTTCGCTTCGATGATTTGAGACAACATTTTCATCAACTATTCCGTCAATTGTCTCGTCGCTTAATTCCACATTAATATCACAATCAATGCCATCATTTGATTCAATGTCTTCGACGCATTCCTCCACATCTCTCTTTTGGCTCTCAATCAGTCGACGAACTTCTGCTTTAAAGGCTTTCTTCTCTTCCTTCCTCTTCTCTCTCTTCGCCATCTTCTTCCCGATCGTCACTGGAATCGATTCATTGGTCTCTTCGTCGACAATTGGTTCACTCATTCGCCTTTTCATTAGGCTTAGTCGCGGCGCTGGTATCGGTGGAATCGATCGCTTCGTTGGTCTCACAGTCATCGGCGGGTAAGCAGTGGCAGACGTGCCACTCCTTAGACTCAGTCGCGGCGCTATGTTGTTGTCGTCGGCGTCTTCAGGCAACTCCTCATCCTCTTCATCACTGGTTACGATGGCGTTCACTTCCGGGCTTCGATTTGATTGGTTCCAGTCTTTCACTCGCGCTTCTCGTTGTTGCTGTGGGGTCGGCGGTGGCATCAATGCCAACAATTGTCTTCCCGGCAGCGCTTCTATTGCTGGCAAAGCATTGACTTCTCGACGGGTGTACTGTTCTCTTGCCTGTAGTCTCGCATTTCTTGCCGCAGCGATCTTCGGTCCATCTCTCGGCAGTGGACAAGCGAAACTCAAGTGTCCAAACTCTCCGCAGTTATAGCACCCACAGCGCGAATAATCTCTTTGATTCTGTTGCGGCGGCGCTTCAATTGATGGGAACGCCTGACGCTCTTGCGGACTGGTTTGCGGCGCTGGCATAGGCATCGGTGGGCGATAGCCGTGGTGTTGTGTGGGCGGCGCCTGACCTTGCAAATACTGCATGAACTGACTGAAGGCCTGCATATTTGGTTGTTGTTGTTGTAAACCGGGATTAAGAGCTCGTTGTCGACTATAGCACTGCTCGACTGTATGTCCAAAACGACTGCAATGACTACACCTCTCTTTAGTGGTTGGGCAGTCACGGGCTATGTGTCCCTGAATATGACACCGATTACACGTTCGAGTTTCAGACGGTCCCGCCATTTGTGGTGCCGTTTGCATTACCACTTTCGGGTTCTTATCGACGCCGACCGCTGGTGTGGGATCTGGTTCTGCATTCAAATCTCGTAGAACAGCGATCGCGGCGTTATAATCGGAGATTCCCGCCAAACGGAGCTTTATTTGTTCGCTTCGCATCCCATTAGCCATTACTGTACACATTTGTCGTCCATTCGCATGACATCGATTCCCGACGCGAATGACTCGTGTTCCGAACTCATGCGGCGTTTCTTTGGGTTCTCTGGTCAACAATACGAAGTACATGTGATCGTCATCGTTACCATAGAACTCATTCATTTTCCGGATAAAAGTCGGGTAATTTTGATCGCACGGATTAGAGAAAGCGCCGTAATACCAGTTCTTGGCTGGTCCATCGGCCATTAAACTCGAAGCCATCATCCACTTCTCTGCTTCTGTCCATTGATTTGCGTTCGCCGCCGATTCAAACTCTTGTTGCCAATTGGGCACTTGATCCCGTTTTCCGTAAAACAGTGGACACTTGACCTTTGACTGAAGTCGGCGTTTTGCCTGTTCCTCGATGGCATTGGTGAGTCTGACCTGAGTGTCCATCATAGTGTCGAACGCGGTGACCATAGGTTGACTGACTGGCGGTCTCTGATGACTAGTTCCCGCGCCGTTAACAAAACTTTGGTGACTAGTGTTCGCGCCATTATTGACTGACTGTTGGACTGGCGGTACGGATTGACTAATATATTGTGTTCCATATAGTTCTGGTTGTTGTCGTCGCAGCGGCGGATCTTCTGGTTGTGATACACGTCTCGACAGTGATTCCGGTCTTCGATGTGTTCGTTGCGCCGAATAGTTCACATGTGTGGTGTCACGCGCAGGCGCACTGTCTCGTCGTACACTCACCACCGAGTCACGCGAATGTGATCTCGACAGTCGTCCAGACGATACAGGCGATGATGGCGCGGCATTTCGTCGCCTCTGCTCTTGTAAGTCGGCCTCTATTTGTGCCGCTTCTCTACGGAGTCTTAACAGTTCTGCTTCGCGTAACTCATTCTCCAAGTTCAACGCCTGTGTATCGACACGCCGTCTCTCAGAGGCTATTCGAGCATCGATTTGAAGCGCCCGTCTCTGAGCTTCGGTTGCAGCGGCTCTTTCTCGTCGTTCACGTGCGGCCTGAGCTCTGGCTGTTCGCCGGCGCTCTACTTCCGCCGCTTCTTCGGCCGCATTGCGCGCGTTGTTGTCGCCGCTCTCACTACTGCTACTGTTATTGTCGTTACCGGTGTTGTACTCACTCGCGTTGCTCACACTGAGTGCCTCATATGGCGGAGGAGGAGTGGGTGTACGTGACTCCCTCTCGTGTTCACTAACCTCTGCTTCTGCTCCGATTTCGAGTCCATTTGGGTTGACCACTGGCGCAATCTCTCGGGGGCCGATGTCCCAGTTGTCTGCGTCCAAGTTTCGGCGCGCCATTGTGTTGTGTCCCGAACGGGTGACGACCATTCGTGGCCAATGTCTGTCTGTCTGTCCGTCGATTACACTACTCTATCACTTGAGGTATTGTTATATCGCAAAACTTTGGCACTTTTTATCACAATTATTAAAGTTTCGTCTACTTTTCAGGGATCGGGTCTACCGATACAGCTATTGGGGCCGTCGGTGCGAGCGCTGATACCCCGCTTAAACCTCCACCACAACTGTAGCCGCGGAAAGTCTTATTCCCGATTACAGGTCTACTCGACGATAACTCTTCTGTTTCGGGGGGTGTTCTGTGTCTACAACTACTGGACTCATTGACTCAACACTCGGAGATCCACATATG